GGCAACAATTCAAGGCCTAAGCAGTAAATACAACAAATCAACACAATGACAATACAATGCTGTAATATACTCTTTAGAGCGTGGCTACCTATGTCCTGCAGTTCTAAGAACATAAACAATAGCCCTCAGACTGGGAGACTGCTTCCCAAGTGAGAAATGTAAAGGAAATAGTAAATAATCCACTGGCTAGCTCACTTGTGGGCCATCAGTCAGGAGATTTTAGGTATAAGCATAATCGGTTAGACCTCCTGAAAACCAGTATTCCTAATAAGATAACTCTGAATATAGCACAGTTTGAGAAATGGGTTCTTATGCTGGCTTAGATGGGGCCCTTTTCATTGGAACACAATGCAATCTGCTGTCACTTTAAGGGGTGGAGTGAATCGGAGAGTTTTATAAGATTAGGATTATTGATGCAGTTTGCTCTAAGAGATGAGGTTGTGACTCAGTTCACTTGAGGTATGAAGGATTGAAGGCTGAGGTCAGTTTAAGACACAGGTTTGCGGAATAAAGTTACTTTTGGATGTAAAATGGTAGGCCAGAATGCATTAGGGTATGTGGCAAAGTCACACTAAGGGGTGTATCTGGGAGCTCGTTGTACTTTACAAGGCAATCTCAGTTTCAGCAGCAAAGCACCTTTCTAATTTGTAGTAATGCAATTACATAGAACTGGATCTGCCTAGCAGAGAAGGGCTGACTCGGTTCCACAACCTGCAGACAGGGATCACAATAGCAGCTGAGTAATGGCAGTCTGTAGCAATAAAGGCCACTGGTGTACTGATCACAAAATAAAGACCTTTGTAGAGGACAGTGTCTGAGAACTTGAAGAACCTAAATGATCACAGTCTGAAATGTAGCAGACTCTGATGATGTGTGGGTCAGCGACCCCCTCACCAAATCCTAGGCATCAAACAAAAACAAAAACAAAAAAAACAATGAGCCTGTGGCAATGGAGGGGGGGGGGAATCTACTGGACATGCGACTGTAATGGCAGCGACCCTTGTGTTACTGCAGCAGTCCTCTAACGCGTTTCGTCACTTCCGGATTTTATCTTCACAGATAAAGAGGGTATCTCTTTGAGAGGGTAATTGTATGCATTTCAGCTTTAGAAGTGTTCACGGATAGTGCACTATTCATTTATTTATTTACTTTATTTATTTTATTTTAATTAATTTTATTTTTATTTTCACTTTTGAGTGTACGCTGATTGTTCACGTTTATTTATATTGGCCCTGATGAAGTCATGTGTTAAGCGTGATGATACGCGTTGGCGGTGACGCACTTCCGGTCGGACGCCTTCTTTATTTACATTGGACACCCATGCAAGTACATCTGATCTGAGGTTTGATTTACATGTGATGTACAAGATGATTTTAAATGTGAGCATATTCGATATGTGGTACTTTGTTTGGTGAATAAATAGTTTTACACTATGCAAGCATTCACTTATATTTTCTGAGGGATCAAGTGGCTGCAGCCACCTTATGTGCCTGAAGAGGAGATCTGCTGCCCTGTGAGCCTGTGCTGGAATCTGTACATGAGGGGAGGTCAGTGTGGAGAGCTGTGGAGGATTACCTACTATTAAGGGTCCATGTGTTAGTGATCCTGAAGGCCTGTTGACCCTGTGCGGGTCGCAAGAGGGAGGTGAGCGGCAATTCAGCCATTTTTGGATATCACTGCACATTTATCAGCACTTTTTTTTTTTTTTTTTTTTTTTTTTTTCTTCTTCAAGAATTTCTGTGGACTTTATATATGGTTTTTTTGTATATTGTCAGGTGTTTTTACACCTCACGGGACTTTATATATTTATTCATTTATTCATGTTTGTTTGCATGATCAGTTCTTAGTTTATGCGTTTATTGGGATGCACATGTGTTTTGTGTTATATGGTGGGAACTGATTTTTAGTTCCGGTGGGAGGTTTTTTTAGCACATTGAGTCCTGTCGTGACTTACTTGTTTGATTTGGAGCACTATTGGATCCTATTGGATTACTTGGGGCACCATTTATGTTATTTGGTCCTTTTAGGACCTCTTTTGACACTTGTCCCATGTGATTATTTATGAGTTTTTGGCATTATTTAATATTGTGTGTTTATGTTATTTGTGTCACTAATTTTGCACTGTTTCATTTATATTTATACTTAAGGTGTACACGGAGTGATTCACGTTTCACGTGTTGCTCGTGATTTGAATCTTTTTTGTTTTTGCACGCATTTGTGTTTGAAGTATTTATTAGTTGTTATCAATGCATTATGTAGTATTTTATTTATACATGTTGAGGTACACACTGGAGTTATGTGGAGGTACTAACTGGACACAGAAGAAGATTATTTTTTTGTGGACTTTAGTTTGGACTTTATGTACTCATTGATTGGCACAAAAAAAAGGTTTTTATATTATTTTTCACTTTCAGGGGTGAAAGTGTGACTTTTTTTGACTCCTTTTTAGATTTGTGGGATTTTTGTTGGATTTACACAGCTGTAAGGTTTATTATTTATTAATTTTTTTAATCATATATTTACAAGTCCCATCATGCCTCTACCTTTGGAAGTCATGCTTGTAACTGTCAATCTTGCAATGCTTCATGGGACTTGTAGTTTGTCAACAGCTGGAGGGACACCTGTGCCATAGAGGAACCATGCCCTTCAGACTTCCTCTCGTTCTGCAATGTCACTGCAGTGCAGCACCAACTGCAGTGGATAAAGTAGACTGCACCTGCCTACATACAGCTCTGTAATGACAGTCTTCTTTTCATAGCTGTGTCCATCCCTCTGTCAGCGCGGGCAGGAATGGCAGCAGAAACAGGGAAACTGACACCCAGGTCCATGCAGATGCCCTTCTTCTATAGGTGCAGCTGACCGCGGCTGCAGGTATAAGTAGTAATAGGCAAAGTACAGGGTACAGGGGGGGTACTGTAAGAGGAGGAGAGCTACATGCAAAGTGTGCCACAGAAGGAAATCTTACCTCTACACAAATGATATTTCATGGGTAGGGCGTAGAATTCATTTTACAATAAAGGATGAATGCAAAGTATATTTGCTGCATTATAAACCACAACACCATATTTAGTATACTACACATAAACACCACTTAAAAGAGAATGAAATTACATACTAAGCAAGCATGCATTGCCAGAAACAGATACTATATTTACAGTCAGACAACCAACATATGATGTTCATATGTAGTACAATAGTAACAGCTTGGCACCCACAATAAAATACAAAGCATAGTACTATTAAAAAACATAACTCACCAAAGTATAAAATACAAAAACAATGCTGAATAACAAGACATAAAAAGAGAAGTTTGTTTTTTTTTTTATTTTCCCCAAAATTATACTTACCTAGGTGGATACAGCATTCGTCCCCGCAGGCTCTAAGTGTGAGAACTCAGCGATCATATGACTGCTGATCACTCAGTTCTCACCATCACTGTGAGCAGAGCTGGCTGTCTGCTCTGTCCCTCCCCTCCTGTGCTCACTGGAGCACTGGGCTGTGGAGGGGGAGGGAGTGGCTGGCTCAGGCTCTCAGCAGATCATTGACAGGCTGAGCCAGGTGCAGCTTTGCACTCTGGGGTGGAGACCAACTTTGAGTCACGTCAGCTGTCGGCTGAACACGAGTCACAGGAGTGCAGAACGAACTTCACTCCTATGATCCACAGAAGTACAGCCAAATTTGGCTGTACTTCAACCCTTAAGTATGTTCAGCAAGATCACATGGTCCTATGACAATAGTGTCCAGGGGTTCCTGACATTAATGTCTAGTTAAAGTGGTTGTAAAGGCTGCATAAAGGTAAAAAAACTACTGTGTGCAGCAGCTCCCCCAGCCCCCTCAATACTTACCTGAGCCTCCTTGCGATGCAGCGATGTGAACAACAGCCTCGGCTGTTCTGGGTCTCTGACTCCTCATTGGCCGAGACAGCAAGTGGGAGCCATTGGCTCCCGCTGCTGTCAATCACAGCCAGTCAGCCAATGAAGAGAGAGAGGGGGCGGGATCAAGACACAGCTCCGTGTGTGATTGGGCACATGGAGCAGCGGGTGCCCCCATAACAAGTGAGGGCACCCAAAAGGATCGAGGGGCCAGGAGAGCTTGTGGGGGACCCAAGGAGAGGAGGATCCAGGCTGCTCTGTGCAAAACCACTGCACACAGTAAGTATAGACATGCTTATTATTTTCAAAAATATTTAACCTTTAGAATCGCTTTAAAGTGTTACTAAACCCAGGACCCTCAATTCACTATATCTGGCATCCCTCTATACACTGAACAGGGAAATTATTTTAGTAAATATAAACTGCTAAATACCTTTTATCATCAGCAGTTAGGGCAGTCTTGTGACTTCTCATAAACGTAGTGCAGCGCTAAACAAATAAATGCCAACATAAACGCCCTGGAACGGGTAGTGGGGTCTGGTCCGTGTCCACATGGAGCCGGTCTGGGCTGCACTACAGTTTACCCGTTCCAGGGCGTTTATGAGGGATATCTCTATTACCCGTATTTGCAGAGGAGAGGATCCTGCTCCAGGCTGTACTGTCAAGAGAACCCCTGCTCCTGGTTTATCTGATCTTTGCGCAGTGGGTGACCACTGCCCCCCGGTGAGTGGGCAATCTTTCCATATCCACTTTGATCGCACCTCACCGGATTTCCAGATTTATGCACACGGGGAGTTATATAGAATCTGTCCATCGTTCACCAGTGGGAATAACTACCACTATCTGATTGGCTAATTCTGGACACTATATTGTATATTGAATTTTGAATTTTATATTTATGATTGGTTAGTCACTTATACATTATATTGGCATTTATTTGTTTAGCGCTGCACTACGTTTTTATGATCTGTTCATTTGAGAAAGTTTGTGGTTACTTTTTTGGTGCATTAGCTGCTACAGTAAGCGCTCGCTTCACATGCTTGCTTCTTAGTCTTGTGACTTCTGTCAGTGTCCAGAAAAGCACAAGTTTCTAGGAGGAGTTTTCATTCTCCCCTGATTGTCTTATGAGGCTGCATGACCCCTGACCCTCTGTCTGGACAGCACTGATTGGCCTATGCTGATCGCATGCACTCTCCCAAGACAAAAAAAACCTCTAGCAATACACACCAAACTGAGCATGTGCAGCTTGCTCTGTTCTATCAGCAGAATAGATTGGGAACAGTAGAAGAAGGGGAGGATCAGAGAAGACAGGGTCAAACATCCTTTTTACAAAATGCAGAGGATTAACCCCTTAGGTTCCACAGTGAGTATAACAAGCGTGCTTTACTGCATATACAGACTGATCTTACAGTTATGGGTTTAGTAACACTTTAAGATGTTTCCAACTGCTTCTACCGGCTTCCAAGCAAATCTACCACTGTTTTGGTGTGATGATGTGGCGACCGTCACAATGGTACTCTTATCATCTCACCACTTCTGCGATTCCTGTTAGATTTATGCATGATCAGGTCTGTTGTGGTGTGTAAGTTTCGACTTTACAGAGTTGAAACTTACACATAGCTAAAACAGCATCCCCTGCCCCGTGTGATTGGCTGCTCAGGCACAGAGCACTGCATTGTGTTGGGCAGGGGAGGGAGTCTGACGTGGGTGGTGTGGTAGTATTGCACAGTAAATGCAGGTACCTTATTACACCTCCTTTTTTGAATGGGCATCTGCTTGGAGTAAGGAGAAGGTACTCTCCCCTAGCTTCATGGCCTTATCTCTGGGTGTCAAAGGATACAGACATGCAGAATTGAAGGGTGGAAGCCTTAAAAGGCTCCCTTGATGTAAGAAAGTGGTCTGATAGGAGCTGTAGAGGTCACTAGCATTACTGTTGTGTAAGGTCCCTGCGCTACTGCAGGTACTGTAACCTTTGGCTTTAAAGACCCTACAAACTAGTAATGTTTAAATGCCTTGAGCCACCAATGCTTAAAGAGGCAGAAAAACATGGAAGCCAATTGGCAGCACTCTCTGGTAGCTTGTTCCCTGAGTATCTGCCCAGCTTGCCCAGGCCTACAGGTGTCTCTTATGTAAAAGAATACAATACCTTATGATTTCTTGGCCAAAACATAACTTTAGCAAGTCGGGCTAGTAATATACACTGTTCAAAAAAATGAAAGGAACACTTTTTAATCAGAGTATAGCATCAAGTCAGTTAAACTCCTGGGATATTGATCTGGTCAGTTACGTAGCAGAGGGGGTTGTTAATCAGTTTCAACTGTTTTGGTGATAATGAAATTAACAACAGGTGGACTAAATGGGCAACAATGAGATGACCCCAAAAACAGGAATGGTTTTACAGGTAGAGGCCACTGACATTTTTTTCCCTACTCAACTTTTCTGACTGTTTTTCACTAGTTTGCATTTGGCTAGGGTCAGTGTCACTACTGGTATTATGAGGCGATACCTGGACCCTACAGAGGTTTCAGAGGCAGTCCAACTCCTTCAGGATGGCACATCAATACGTGCAATTGCCAGAAGGTTTGCTGTGTCTCCCAGCACAGAGCATGGAGGAGATTCCAGGAGACAGGCAGTCACTCTAGGAGAGCTGGACAGGGCCGTAGAAGATCCTTAACCCATCAGCAGGACCAGTATCTGCTCCTTTGTGCAAAGAGGAACAGGATCAGCACTGCCAGAGCCCTACAAAATGACCTCCTGCAGGCCACTGATGTGAATGTCTCTGACCAAACAATCAGAAACAGACTTCATGAGGGTGGCCTGAGGACCCAACGTCCTCTAGTGGGCCCTGTGCTCACTGCACCATAGAGCTCGATTGGCATTTGCCATTGAACACCAGAATTGGTTCACCACCGGCGCCCTGTGCTGTTCACAGATGAGAGCAGGTTCACCCTGAGCACATTTGACAGACATGAAAGGGTCTGGAGAAGCTGTGGAGAACGTTATGCTGCCTGTAACATCGTTCAGCATGAATGTTTTGGTGGTGGGTCAGTGATGGTCTGGGTTGGCATATCCATGGAGGGACACACAGACCTCTACAGGCTAGACAATGGTGCCCTGACTTCAATTAGGTATCGGGATGAAATCCTTGGACCCATTGTCAGACCCTACGCTGGGGCAGTGGGCCCTGGGTTCCTCCTGGTGCAGGACAATGCCCGGCCTCATGTGGCGAGAGTATGCAGGTAGTTCCTGGAGGATGAAAAAATTAATACCATTGAATGGCCCCCACGCTCACCTCACCTAAATCCTATAGAACACCTCTGGGATATAATGTTTCGGTCCATCCGACGTTGCTAGGATGCACCTCAGACTGTCCAGGAGCTCAGTGATGCCCTGGTCCAAATCTGAGAGGAAATACCCCAGAACACCATCCGTTGTCTCATTAGGAGCATGCCCCGACGTTGTCAGGCATGTATACAAGCACGTGGGGACCATACAGACTACTGAGTACCATTTTGAGTTGCTGAAATGAAATTTCAGTAAAATGGACTAGCCTGCTGCATTATTTTTTCACTTTGAGTTTCGGGGTGTCTTTGAATTCAGTCCTCTGTAGGTTGATCATTTTCATATTCATCAAACGATGGGGCATCCTTACGTTCCTAACACATTGCCCAGTCCATATCAGTATAGATATCCAGCATGATATTTTTTTCCCCATTGAGATCTGTTGTGTTTTCAAAGTGTTCCTTTCATTTTTAACAGTTTAGTTCTAGTAATACAGTTGCCATCACATTTTTCAAGTTTTTACAAACCTCTGTAATATAGTAAATATACATTCATGAAATCATCACGTTTATACAGAGAGAATGAGAGACAGGTAATTTTTTTATCGCGTATGAGCCACGCGCAACATCAGTGAAAGTATTCATCAAATTATATGGTGAAGGCTCCATCTGCTGGCCAATTCTTGGTAATGACATAAGTTAAAGCGGAGTTCCAGTTGAATAAAAAAATAAAAGGCTGTAGCTGCTGACTTTTAAAATACAGACATTTACCTGTTGCTCGGTCCGGCAGTGTCTTCACGACGGCTGGTTTCACCGGCCGTCTTTTCTCCCTGGCATTTTCAGTATTGGTACCAGGCTGTGACAGCTTGCGGCTTCACAGCCAGGTGCCCGCTGTGCATGCGCGAGTAGCGCTGCTCTTTTCTGAATGGTCCCATAGTCTTCTGGGACCTGTCACGTGTCCCAGAAGACTACGGAAAGGGAGGGGGGAGGACAACTTCCATTTCCAATTGCTTTAGGCGATCGCAGCGGAAGAGGGAAGCGGGTACCTGTCAAATTTGGGTACAAAGGCTTAAAGTGGAACTTCCCCTTTTGGGTGGAGCTTTAAAAATGTGACAACATATTTTATCATACTCAAAAGCCAACAATAAAATATTGAATAGCTCGCACATACTATATCTTACCCATATGGGAATCACATGTGTGAGTGAATCTCAATTTAGTTCATATATATTTTCTCTTAAAATGAATGTTTTTAATCAAAACTATACTAGGTATAGTTTACCTGTAATCAACAATTCATCCTTCCTGTCCTACAGTATATCGCCGTGGTGCCCAACCTGCAGCCCTTTGGCACTTGTGTGGATCTTGGGGCTCCTGCTGCGAATTGTCTATGTTTTCCATGCAAAGAGATAAGCAAATGCATCTGGATTTGGTTCATGGGTCCTTTGTCTAAACCATTGTAAAGTCAGAAAATTGCAAAATTTTATTCCATGCACCATTTACAGTAAGTATATAGCTGGTTGGAGGGAGGGCAAATCTTGAAAATGTAACTTTCAAGGCTGATCAAGGCATGGGATTGTCAAACAATGGGCATTGGGAGCTGGGTGCTGGCATGGGGGGGGACATGTACCAAAGTGTACAGTGGGAAGTAGGTCCTCTTTTCTCTGCAGCTTCAAAAGTGACATGGGAAAAAAAAACAACAATTCTTTCAATTATATGATGGATTTGCATGGGAGAGGCAGGGTAGTTCTTATCCTATAATAAAATTAGATGGTATATTTTTAGAGGAAATAGCCACAAATAGTTTACAGTCACTGTACAGTATGTAAGCAGATTGATTAGGCTGCAATGTAAGAGGTAGAGAAAAAGGCAGATTTTTTTTTTCATGAAATTTAGAGTGTAATATTTCATAACAGCAATAGTAAAATAATATTTTTGAGTACTGCAACACTGCAATAGGTCACGAGAGCACAATTTACCCTGCAGCAAATGGCTGCCATATTGACAGTATCCTTCACCTGTCATAGGGAATGCTTGAAGTGTTGCTAAACCCAGGACCCTGCATTCACTCTATCTGGTCTCCCACAGTACACAGAACATGGAAATGTAATTATTTTAGTAAATATAAACTGATAAGAGTTAGAGCACTCTTGTGACTTATATTTGTGTCCAGAAGAGCACTGGTTAAAGTTTGTAGGAGGTGTTTTCTTTCTGATCTGGGAGGATGCAGAACCCCGACCTCTGAACAGTGCTGATTGAGTATGTGCTGACCACATGCACTCTTCTTCCTAGAAAAAAAACCTCTAGCAATACACACCAAACTGAGCATCTGCAGCTTGCCCCCAAGACTCTGTTCTATCAGCAGATGGACTGGGGACAGTAGACGAAGGGGAGGATCAGAGAAGTCAGGATCAAACAGCATTTCTACACAGTGCAGAGGATTAACCCCTTAGGTTCCACAGTGAATATAACAAGCATGCTGTACTACATATGCAGATTGATTTTACTGTGGTGGGTTTAGTAACACTTTAAGAAGTGCTGCTGATAGTAATAAATTGTATAGTGAGAGAGTAGTGTAGGGCTTGTAGGCACTGGCTGGCCTCCTAAAGTAGATGTAAACCCCTTCCAAATGTCTTGTAGGTTGCAAAGTACTGTGTGTGGAGAACATGGGGTCGGGAGAGGGAAGGGTTTTACCTTTTTCATTCTTTGTTACATTTTAGTGCTGCTGATGCTCTGCAATCTCTTTACAGCCTGTCCCTGTCTGCATGCACTACAGTGATCACAGGCTGCATGTGTGTTTTTCTACAGGGCATATTTCCTCATTGTTGCTGGTTGCCATTGCTTTTTGCACATCCTCTTTACAGCCTGTTCCAAAGCACTACAGTGATCACACTGCGTGTGTGTTTTTCACAAGGTATATTTCCTAATTGTTGCTGTCTGTGATTTTTTTTTACAGCCTTTTTACAGTCTTTCCCTGTCCACATGCAATACAGTGAGAACAGGCTGCATGTGTTCTTTCACAAGGCATATTTCCTATTTGTTGTTAGCTGTGATTGTTTTTCACAGGAATTTTATTTTTAAATGATGACATCAGTGGATTATGCCTGGGACAATGTGCATTAGCACACAAGCTCTAGGTTTTTTTTTGGGAGATCTTTAGACATGGTGATTTACAAGCAGGAAATTGTGGGAGACAAGGGCAGAGCGCTGTCACCCCATAACAAAAAGTGTTCAAACAAGGACCTATATTTCAGTATCACCAGCTGTTGTTTTCATGAAGCTTGGCCATTAAAATGAAAAAAAGCTTATATGAGATTTTAGTGGCTGAGTTGATATCTATTTTTTACATAATTTAAGAGTTACTAAATCCACAACAGTAAAATCAGTCTGTATATGCAGTAAAGCATGCTTGTTATACTCACTGTGGAACCTAAGGGATTAATACTCTGCACTGTGTAAAAAGGCCGTTTGATCCTGACTTCTCTGTTCCTCCTCTTGTTCAAATGTCCATGTCTTATCTCCTGACAAGTCAGACTGAACCCGTAGCCACATGCACATGCTCAGTTTAGTGTGTATTGTTAGAGATGTTTTTTTTTTTTCTTGGAATAGTGCATGTGATCAGCACAGGGCCAATCAACACTGTCCAGACAGAGGGTCAGGGGTTTTGTATCCTCCTAGAGCAAAAAGAAAACTCCTCCTCCAAGCTTTAACCAGTTCTCTGTTGAAGTCACAAGACTGCTCTAACTGCTGATGAGAAAAGGTATTTATCAGTTTATATTTACTAAAATAATTGCATTTCCATGTTTCTGTTTACTGTGGGAGACCAGATATAGTGAATGCATGATCAAGGGCTTAGTAACACTTTAAAGCGGAGCTGCACAGGGCCATAAAAGGGGAAGTTCTACTTTAAGCTGTTGTCCCCCCAGGAAGAGAAGACAGCTCCCCATAAGGATTGGCACCTTGGGGAGCGAAGGGGGGTACCCGAATTTGACAGGTACCCGCTCCCACTTCCGCTGCGATTTTTTTTTTTCAGGTGGAACTCCACTTTAAGTTCCCAGTGGGACAAAGTACATGAAGTGTTTTGTCCCATCTTCCTAGGTGCTCTGTAACACTAGCTGCAATGTTGGAAAAGGAGTTCCTCCCCTCCCTTGGCGTACACTCACCCGACACTGTAGCTACAGGGAGATGGCTGCTTTGCTGTTGCAGTATCTGTCTCTGGTTCCCATGAATTGCCCAAGGCAGGCACCAACATGAGAAATGCAGAGGTGTCGGGGGAAGGGGTTTCAAAGGGGAAGACCTGTGTAACATTGCAGCTAGTGTTACAGGGCACCTAGAGAGATGGGGAAAAAGTACTACGTGTACTTTGTCCTATTGAGAACTCCATAATGTTAAAACACATAGTGATAATTTTTCATTCCACAAAGTATGCTTGAGCTCTTTGAATTGCAGTGCTGGGGTAAAAGGTGGAGGGGGTTACATAATGACTAAAAAGTATTTTAAACCCACAGGAAGGAATTCCTAAAGTGTTACTAAGCCCAGGATCATGCATTCACTATATCTGGTCACCCACTATACACAGAACAAGGACATTATTTTAGTAAATATGAACTGCTAAATACTTTTTCTCATCAGCAGTTAGAGCAGTCTTGTGACTTCTATTAGTGTTCACAAGAACACTGGTTAAAGCTTGTAGGGGAAGTTTTGATTCTCCTCTCACTGCTCTATGAGATTGCATAACCCTTGACCATCATAGCTATAAGTGCCCTGGCCCCAGCTCAGACATGCATCTAGTCAAGGACATAGTGATGGCTGCTGATATATACGGACTGGCCCTATAATATCTGATAATAATATATAAAAATGTTGGAGATCCAATCTGCTCAGCACATGACCCTCTGCAGATCATAGTTTCTGGAGGCCCGTCATACTTCAGTCCTGCTTCTCTAATTCCAGCTGGTCCAAGCCTGAACCCCCATAATATTATCCATGCCATGGCAGAGAAAAAGAGCGGAGAGGAGATCTCAAGTGTGCAGGCATGGCCAGGGGAAGGTGCAGTTGGAGCTGCCCCCTTGGCATAGAACATCAGGCAGAAAAGGTGCCAGCACCTGCCAGTCATCTCCTCACAACCCCCCCCCCCCCCCCCCCCAGGGGTATGAGCTCCTTCTTCCTTTTTCTTGACATCAGCAGCCGCATTAATGCTGCTGGTGGAATCTTTCCCAATATCACATCCCCTAATCCTCTCCAGACATCGGAGCTCAGGTACTTCTTTCCTCTCTGCAGCAGACACAGAGCAGATGAGGGAGGGCAGTTGTGAGTTGTCCCCCTCCCTTGGTCCCCTGGCTTTGATAATCCAGATGGCATGGACGGTGGCTCCCAGTGCCTGCTTTTCCCTTCCCTCCACTGCCTTCTGTGGCCGACCTCGCCCATGTTATGCCACTGGACCAGGGCTCTCTGGTGTCGGGAAACCACCAACTCTGGAGCCCCCACAATTAAGCAAGAAACCTACTGGATCCATAGACTAAATACTTTGAGTCTATGTGGACGTAATGAGAATATTGACATACACATTGTCATTAAGTCATAACTAACTTATAAGCCATGATACTTCATTGTTATTTTCATTCTCTCTACCAAAAACGTTTTTTTTATCATTTTTTATCATGTGTTTATTACATTTACATAACTGACCATGGGACTTTTAGTTGCTACAGTTCCTAAGGCCAATGTCGTTCCAGAATATAGAGTTTATTTTAAGTATAATATTTATTATTATTATATGTACCATTTTTAATTGTTTCTCCCTCCCTGAATAATTAAATGCCCTCAACATGGGGGGGGGGGCTTTGGAGGGAGGGGTGCTCCACCCCCAAAGCACCTTGTCCCCATTTTAATTATTCAGGGAGGGAGAAACAATTTTGATGGGGACAAGGGCCTCTTCCCCACAACCCTGGGCAGTGGTTGTGGGGGTCTGTGGCTTGAACAAGGGGGCACCCAGATCCTGTTCCCCTACATGTTAATGAGTACTATTCATTCACCAAAAAAAGAAAAAAAAGGGTCAAAAGTAAATAAAGTTCTTTATTAAAATAAATAAATGTCCCCCTAAGTAGATCCAGGTGATCCCGCCGTCATGTTTATCTGTCATTTGGCGTGTGTCCCTGGTTGGGACACGACGTTTTCAGCGGGCAGTGCTTTTTTTCACCAACTCCTAGGGTCAGGTGGCAGTCTCTTGTGATGCAGGGGGCTCCCCTCAGCTTTGTTTTGATCTAGGTAGAGTCCAGTGATCTGTGGTGATAAGCCTGGACACACTCTGGTGGGAAAGGAAACTGTGAAGTGAGTTGGTCTGCTGGATACCCTGCGCTCCTGCTGGCAGATGGCTTCAAGCCTTCACAAAGTGATCCCCCTGGGAACGAGGATCCATGGCTGTGTCCCTCAGATCTCTTTCAGAACCTTTCCTGAGCGATTCTATTCAAGTTTTCCCCTGGACCATACAGGTATTTTGCAGTACAGAAAGTAAGCAGTTCCCTTACACCTCCCAAAATTCTCACCACTCTGGATAAAGGTGTATGGCAGGGGTATCCAAGAGTTTAGCATATAATCCAGGCTCGTTGGAGGGACGTTGGGGATGTCGTGCAAGCTCAGCAGCCACGAACACCTACATTGAACAAACCAGGTAAATGCATGCCTGGAGGGTTGCAGGGTTGCCATGTTTGCAATAGCACCAGTAGCAGGGAATGCAGGGACTCCAGGTAACAAAATGCTGCATGTTCAGGTTTGGGGGGTAGTAGGGAGAGCTATGCCCTCACCCCCAGACTTCAATTGCCCCCCACCTCCCCACATAGCAAATAAATAGGCTACGTCCACAGCAATGATTAGCACTGGGCGATGAGGCAGCTCCTCCTGCGCCACTTAGTGGGTAGGTGCGGCAACTGCACCTATTGGTGGCTCTCTACACAGCCAGTGATTACCTGAGATGATCGCTGCAGGATACACTTTGTCTGTGTCCAGCAGTGATCACTGCAGGCAATCGCTGGCTGTGCAGAGAGCCGTCAATAGGTACAGGCGTACCTACCCGCTAAGTGCCGCAGGAAGAACTGCTCATCAGCCATCCTTATTATTAGTGTATTTCTTTTGTGCAGCCCAAGACAATTTCTCTTCTTCCAATGTGGCCCAGGAAGGTCCTGGTATATGGATACGCTTGTCTTGCCCCCTGCTGGGCAGAAGAGAATAATGCAACCTAGCTTCAGTATCCCTGTAGAACCTGAAGCAGAATTAGGACAGGGTCTCTTCTTCTATACTACTATAGTCCAGCGCATGGCTACATATGTATGTTACTTTTAATCCTGACCCCTAATCTTCTTCGATCAAAACTGCTTTTTTTAGAGTTTGCCCACAGTAGCGGCAAGGACTGACAATTCTCTAAAAATCAATCCATGCTTGGATCGTTTTTCAAAGCCATTTGAAAGGCATTAAGAAGACCATATGTTGTCTCCTCATAGCCTGTTTTAACCTTCTAAATTTAGC